ATCAATCCCCGATAGATCGATCACTACCCGCCGATCCGGCGGGTAGTGAAGACGTGCCCTAAGACTAAGCCGGGCTCAGATCCATCCAAATATTAAGTGTTACAAGAACAAACCTTGCTCTCCTCAAACTATTTTACTCTCAGCAGTCCACTTCTAGACAATATTCCTTGATCTTGCCCTCACACACTCAGTGACTCTCTGCTGCTACAGCCCCTCACGCCAGCCATCATGGATCCCAAATATCCAGCCTTAGGAGTCAATCCTGCAAGCTGCAGCAACTTCTCCAGGACCTGAATGGCCAACAACAAGCAGGATTAGGTCCTTAATCTGCTCCTGCTTCCCTTTTTCCCTTTCATTCATCATCTGATCTTTAAAATATCCTTTAAAGAGCAAACACACTTTTCAGATCACTGTTTACAGATACGCTAGAAACTGTAGCCTTAAAATATTAAGCACTATGCTGTAAAGTCCTCTAATGCTAGTACTGTATTCCCGTAAGTGTAACAGCAGCCAGCCTTGAGCTCCGCTGGAATTTCATGCGGATCTGTCATTTCTGTCATGCATGACTTGTCCTGTTTAGTAAACCAGGGACAGCAAAACAAGTTTCACGGCTGGTTCTGCATAAATGGCAATATTCAAGTAAACATGTATTCCACAGCAGGTAACCTACAGCTCCAAAAGTATAATTTAAGGAAAAATAAAGTTATAGCATAAACAAAGACAAAATGCTTTTCTGCCGGTGTATAGAGCTATCTCCAAATATCCAGAGGGGGCTTATTTGAAGAGAGTGCAACTAGGCAAAGGTAGGCGCTTAAAAATTGTACAACCTCCAAAAAACAGTTAGGCTTATATAAAACTAAAGACAGAAAGGTTGATTACTATACCAGAGAGGAACGGCTATAAATTCCATAGATCATTTAAGGCAAGCTGTTTGCAGAACTAGTCTGTTCAAGTCTGTTGCTTCACAAATTCCCAATTTTTTATTTTATTTTGCTTCTGCACAGATAGTGCAGGAGGTCAAATGAATTACATACTCACTAGCGGTAAAAACGCACAACAGCTCTGAGTTTGGAAGAATGGTCTTACAGCTGCACTGGCTGCTGTGTAGCATATACATCAGGCTTAGACAGACAGTAATTTTGCTGTGCATTTTGAATGGGAGGGAAGAAGTGGCACGTGAAGACAACACCCAAATGGATTAAAAGAAAGCAAGAGTTAAACTAGCATGCCATCATCGCTAACAATTTAAGAACTTCTTAGCTTTTCTTGAACATAAAGTTACACGTTGATCTTGAGAGGCAGGAGAGAATGGACACAGCTACTGAAGCTGAATTGGGCCAAACAAATGGAAGGTACAAAACTGATTGAAATGCTACAGTTACAGCCTAACATGGAAGGAGGGCAATGAAACATACAAACATTTCTCATGGTACTTACTGCATTGGGTGGGTTCTTAATACATTCTAAGAAACAAATTGAATAGGAAACCCTGTTCACAATTAAGGAATGGCTTTTTGATCTCCAAGGGAAGGTCTGTTTGTTACTGATATACTCTAGCCCAAATGGGGAGGGGGGAGGAGAAGAGGAACCCCCAACACCACAAGAGTGACTTTTTATTTCTCCTACATTGTAGGATAGCTAACATCCTGAATGACCTAAACTTGTTCAAAAGTTTGACATGGTTCTGGGTTTTTTAGATACATGGGAATGGCCCATTATAAGATTCAATGAAGCTGCATGCACATTATTAGCCGTACTTTGAAGACTGCAGTGAATTTAAGGAGACAGATAATATAATGAAGTAGATTAGTTATCCAGATATAAAATCCTGGAAGGAAAGAATGGTGACACTTAACCACTCAGTAAATTTAAGAACAGATCAACAACCAGGTATTACATGGTGAATGAATTAAAGCCTTCTTTCTTACAGTGTGATGTGTTTTATTGCAGTTATAGAGTGAAATTTGAATTCTGGATTCATATTGTCAATAGTTTGGAGAGAGAAAGATTATTACATACACGCATGTGTGTGTGCCTGACTATAACAAAATTAAGCAGACACCTAACTTTAAACATATACAGCAATTTAGAGTACATATTCTTCAGTATGTGTGTGTGTTTGGTCTTTTAATGAAATACTAAACTGAAGAATTTTTTACGACACTTTAGGTAGTATCTGAGATTCATTTTTAAACATGAAGGGCTAAATTCTGCCCTCAGACATGCACACCTTTCCATGAAACTCAGCCCAAGAGTAGAATCTGGTACCCAATTAATTAAGGCTGTCTGTGACATCATACTGTAGAACACACAGCTGCAAGACCTGGAAATTTACAAGGCTATGCCATGAATGAGAAGGATATAATTTCAGCTGCCAACCATGATATCAGAGCTGAAGTGACTTTAATCACCAGAGACTAGAGATGGAGTTTCCTTGTTCAACACTGTTTCATAAATTGTTTATAAACTAAGAGGTTAGTTTTATTTATATTATATAAATAAAATGAAAGGGATATTCATATTGAGACCGTCTCATGTCAATACCAAGGACTATTCTCTTGGGGTTATATCCATTTCCCAGAACGTGTGATAAGCTGAATTGTTTCTAGTTTTATTTTCCTGTGGTTTGTGTAGTAGAATTGCACAATATTAAAGCTGTAATTTTCCATTTAGAATAGCACCTGCAGCAAATGGATTCACATATTCAACATCTAGTCTCATTTAATGTATTCTCAGTCACGTTTAACTACCATCCAATGTGCGTGATCCTGCAAAGGATCCTTTACTTGCGAGACTAGTCCTATTTGACCTCAATGGCAGTACTCAAATGAATAAGGAGTTTGCAGGATGGAGCTCCAATTAATCTGGGATACTAAATTTTAAAAGTGTGGTGAGACAGCTATGTAGTATTGTGGCTAACACTCAGTGTTTTCACGAGTCACATTCTTTAGGTGTAGAAAGGAAGGCAATAAAACGACACGAAGCTTGGATATCAGACCATTTTCCCAGTAGATGACAAACTGTTGCAATGCATTTCTACAGCTACTTACCCCAAGATGTAGCAGTTTCATTCACATCATCATCAGGTTTTAGCTATACTTCTTTAAAAATCAGCAACACAAAAAAATTCTGATGGTTTCAAGAATCTCATCAGCATCATGCCCATTTATAATCCCTTGATCTACACTTTAAAGATTTTATATATATTTATAAAAAAATGAATATATTTGGCCTATTCCATGGAAGTTCACAGTTCAACCATTAAATAAGGACTTCTCAGAGGCTCCGGGATTAATAAAGGTTTCCCAGAAACATGTACAAAACTCCAAGCCCATGACCAATATAGTGAACATTAAAAAGCAAGCTATATTTGATGTTTAGGATCATCAAAATATCAGGCAATCCAGAATAAGTACTGTGACTGTCTGCCACTCACATTGTTGTGAAAAGTTGCACAACTCAAGCAAAGAACAGATTGTTAGACTTTGTAGTCCCTGGTTTGTATCAATTTTAAAATCACAAACTTGACTTTTTGTATTGTTTCTCTTCTGTAATCCAAAAGTGACATTTAGTATAGAACAAAAATAAATGGCTTTTTTTCAAGATAGATTTGGCTAGCATTATAAGTGTTTGGTATCCAATAGGCTGGAATGATTCCTGCTAGAGTAAATAACGATAGAACAGGGCTTTCCTTTTGTTACAACAGCATGGCACCAAGCCACCCACGTTTGCATTTTTTTCAACTGGAATTTCCCCTCTTTCACACAACTACCGCCACCATCCTGCCTTGGCAAACCACCCTGAATTACACCTAATGGCTAACCCTTTGTGCTGTAGAATTTTCCTCTGTACCACAATCCATATTCAGATCAGACCTTAAAAACACTCTTCAGTTTCTAGGCCATAATCCTTTGTAGCCATTACAGTCTATTAAGTAATGACTGTCACAATTTAGTACTTATGTGCATGCAATAAGTATACATTGAGCAACCAATTTTCAAACTTTGGGCATTTTAAGTTCTTTTTAGGAGGAAGTGAAGTGATTTAACAAAAAAAATAAAATAAAATACAAGATACTAGAACATTACCAGAATACGCATGTAGCCTTAAAGTTATAAATAAAGAGCCTCTCCATTTATGCTCAGGCCAAATCTACACTTAACGGTTTTGTTGGCATAGAAATGTTGGTTTGAGGTGTGATTTCTCACATCACCAGCCCCAACCATAGCGGTGTGTTACCAAAGGGCCTAATATAGATAACAGCTTTACTGTCAAAAAAAGTACTCTTGCTTAATTTGCTTACCAAACCAGAATGCTTATACCAGCAAAAGCACCTGTTTACTGGTATAACTGTCTACACTAAAATGGTTTTGCCAGTATACAGACAAAATGTACACAAAGCTTCAGCATATATTTAATTACCAGGAACCAAGTCCTAAATTTTGTGCTTCTCCTGCAAGTTGACAACCTTTTTTATACTTGAAACGGGAGCAACATTAGTTTTCCATAATTTTTACACATCCCTAATGCACGCAGAACATTGACCTCTCATCATGGTGAGAAGATGTAATTTGAGAACATCTTCTTAAACAGATATGTACTTTAGTTTAATTACACAAGCATTGTTAATGATGCAGGATCTCAAAACTGAGATCTTGCCACTGGATTTGCCAGCATGCAGTGACCATTGTGAGAGTCCGCCGGGGCATCTGCCTGGCCACTGGGATGCAAGGTAGCAATTTACAATTTGCTTTAAAGAGCCCTACCGCACAAGAACCATTGGACAATAGGAACTAATTGCTCACCAGTTTCATTTTTAAATTTAAGCCATTTTGTGATCCTGCATTACAACTCAGAAAATAAAGTTGTATAATAGAAATGTATCAAATATATGGAGCCAATGCTTAGCTTAACAGAAAGCCTCAGCAGTTATCCCTTTTACCAAGAAGTATAAAAAAGCTGATATACTAAAATTAAAAAAGGTAGCATCAATAACCAAAAAAATTTCAACCAGTGTTAATAAAACTCCCTTTTTAGGTCACAACAGGCAAATAATCCCAGTACAGGTAATTTAAAACAATAAATTGAGTCCTATTTAAACATTATTAAATCAGCCTAAAAATGAATTGTCTACAGTGTTGTCATTAAGAACACATTGAAGAACTCACTTTTTCATTGGGTGCCAATGTTGTTGCTGCCCCAGAAAATTTGGAGGGATGTAACTATGCTTTAGCAATTAAGTATAGGTTAAAAAATTGGTTTGTCAACATTAATGCAAGAGATCATCCCTACACAGGTGTACTGCACTTGCCAGACAAATAAGTTGATAATACTTAAGAACAGATCAAGTGTAAATTAAAGCAGATTTACATACCCCAGTTTCCCTCGAAAGCAGCTTTTTTTTGCTTCTGTTAATGTTTACCAGCCATAAGATGCAGAACCTTTGGCTCCAAAGTATTTTCACGTAGCCATAAAAATATGAATGACTTCTTCAGCAGAAAGGAAAATTCATCAAGGAAGTCTACTTCCAGTAAAACTGAGGTAGCACTGCTCTTTTGCATGTGATGCTTAAGTAATTTAGATACAAAGTGTTAACTACAGTTCAGTTGACTGACAGGTACAGTATGTTTTCATAAATAAAAACCAACATTTAGTTCAACACTCCAAAAAAAGAATGACCTGAACTCATGTTTTTTGAGAGTTAGCTTAAAATGGGATTTAGCCATATTACAAAAAGCAGTCGCTTACATTGTTTTTAGAGGGAATTAATGCATTTGTAGTTAGCAGTTAACACTGCTATTCATATTGGTATAAAACCTTAAAATTAATATAACCTAAAATTTCAACAATGTAAACAGCACTACACACAGTACAGACCTGCCCTGATAGGTGTAGGATACAAAACTTGAATCTGGCACTGTATAATTTAGCAATGTTAATTTAAACCTAACAAAAAGATCTACATTGTGCAAGAAATGTCAGACTTATACTAATCTGAAATCTTTAAAAAAAAAAAAACAATAACTGTTTTTAACTTGTAGCCAGGGTCAAATATTTCAGGGCAAGAGTTGAAGGTATAACCAAAATTAAGAAAGTGCCTAAACCATGATACAGCATTTTAGAGCCCTTTCAAATACAAGGCAGAGAAAGGTGTAAAGTAGAAAAATCTGGAGCCTCAGTAATTTCCAGAAAGGTCCAGAGTTTACATTTAATGAAGGGCAACAGGTTATTTCTGTCTCTGCTGCTTAAATGCTGTTAAGTCTGTTCTTCTATACACGGACCTTCTGTGTCTGAACATGTAATACATTTGGTTTCCTCTTCTTTTTTCCTTCGTTCCATTTCCCATTCCACAAAGGTATCAAAGAGACTAGGCCAGGCCTCATCTTCACTGTAGTTGCTAAGGTCTGGTCCAATCACCTGAGTAAAATTTAGAAACATGTTCCATGTGTCCCGGGAGATTCCCTTAATTCCTGAGGGGTTCTCAATTAGGAAGTTTAACCACTCGTCCAATATAGGGGGGTTATTTTGGGTGAAGACTAACTTCCAAAGGGCAATGGCTATTTCCCGATGTAGAGACCTCTGTCCTTCTTCAGAGTCCAGGCCAAACTGAAAGGTGAAACGATAGAGATCCTTGAATTTATCTTCTTGTTTGGCTTCATTTAAGAGGCTGGGGAACCTAGAACAAATGCCATCAATGCTGTCCGCATTTATTGCTTTGCAGCCCTCAAAGAACTCCTTCCTATTAGCAAAAGAAAAACCATCTGTTAGTACCTTCACACACAAACTATAAAACCCTATCTGAATATAGCCACTTAGAGCCAAAAATGTACCTCCTTTGATAAGACTAGTAAGGCCAAGTACTGCAAAAATCAGCACACCCTCCCCTTTCATCTGAAGTATTTACATGTCAGCTGTGAGAGCTGCTAAGTAGCCTATTCAGGATGAAATCTGAATTTTAAAAGTTTGTAATTACTTTTGAATCCAAGTTTGCAGCACTGTTAAATTACACTACTGGGGTGCCATTAACATTTGAAAGGGATTATTCTGTGTGGCCTGAATGGGCAATGCTTCGTGTTCCTCTTATCTTTACTTTTAAGTGAATTTAACACTGGAGAGATGCCAGATTGGCAGGCTTGAAGGCTCCCTCTTTTTTTCCCCACCAAAGCATAGTACAGGCAACATCAATGCAAGCTACCCTGGGTGCCTGTCCCAAATAATGCTTTGGAGACACCACTCTTAAGGGGCAACTTCAAATGCAGTGATCCTTCAGTCTTTGGTTCCTCGGCCAAGACTGCAAAATGAGGGTTCTGGTTGTGATAGTCAATGATCAGGCACCTGCTCACCAGACACTGATCAGAGATCACCAACTCAATTTACATAGGCTACTGAACAGTTATATACAAATGGTCTTTAGTTCCTACAGTCTAGGGACATTTTTAACCTGACAATCTACAGGGAGAAAGCTCTGTTCTACTACTAGCTCCATGGCCCATCCAGTTCCCATGGTTAGGTTTCATATGATAATAAGCACATTGTGGACTTTTCTCTGTTTAGAGAAAAAATAGAAGTTGTACTTTGAGAAACAATCCATCCAATGCAAGCCAGACTGCCTGAAACCTACTGCTACATATGATAGCTATTCTACTGGTGAAAGGATGTCACTCTGACAGTCTGCAGCAGGAAGAGCATTATATTGGTGCTCAATGGAGCCAGCCTAATAGTTGTGCAGTACCATGCACAAGACGTGATATACCAACTCCTTTATTTCCCAGCGGACATGGCTAGTAGTCATGAGGCAACCGCACAGAAACAGAAAAGTTATTGGGCATTGGAACTTCCTAGGACAAAGTGCAATAATCCTGGAGACTCTTGTTGGTAGTATAGTACTGGAAAGCCCAACCTCCAGCATCTAACGTGAGGCCACCCATTAGTGTGCTATGCAAATAGTTTTCTTAAATCTTTTGAAATTATGGCCACTAACTATTTGATTAGAGCTACTACAAATCTAAATATTCGGACGAGAGGATCTGTCTTCTTTGACTGGGCACTGAAAAACTCAGGATTTTGGTTGGCTTGGTTTTTGTTAAGTATACTTGTGGGGAAATTCTGCACCACTGCATGGGCACAGAATTCACATCTGTAGATTTCTTTGCTTCCCCACGGAAAAATGACTTTTTCCCTAAGCAAAGGGAAGTTGCAAGAGTGATCATGTGCCCCCACCCCCAGCAGTGCTGGTGCGTGGTTTTGGGTGCCCAGAGCAGCGGGCGCAGAGGTAAATCAAAGGGGGGAGGGAGCTGGGGATGCCCTAGCCTGTGCCGGTCAGACCCACCCCACGTCCGCCCAACCCCCATGCATCCAGACACTTTATACCCAGACCCCCCCCCATACTCAGACCCCCCACTGAGCCTCACCCCCCTCATTCCCAGAATCCCCCACACCCCCAAAATGCCCCTGCCAAGCTCCCCCAGCCCCACTTGGGGCTGGAGACGCCCCAGCTCGTGGCTCCTACCCTGCGCCGGGCTCACCTGCTGCTCCCGGCTGGGCTGAGGGTTGGGGAGCACACTTCCCCCACATAAAGTGGCCAGGGCCGGGTCTGACCCACCCCCAGAAACCTTCCCCGGCTCCACACCCTGCCCCCATCGCTCCTCAGCCGTGGGGGGAGAGGTCGCCCATCAGCCCAACCCCATGCATCCAGACTCCCCCACACCCAGACCCCCCTGCTGAGCTCCCCCACTCCACCACCCAGAACCCCCCCAAACTCCCACCCCACCGAGCACCAGTCCCCCACCTATGGACCCCTGAGCCCCTCCCTCCTACATCTGTACCCTCACTCCTGCACTAAGACCACCACCCACTGAGCAACCCACACTCAAACCCCCACCCCGAGCCCCACCCCTTATGTGCCTTGACCACCCCACTGAGCTCCCTGCACCTGGATCCCCACCCCACCAAGCCCCAACCAGCTGCACCTGGACCCCCACCCCACCAAGCCCCATCCCCCCCAACCACTTTCACCTGGACCCTCCTGCAAAGCCCCATTTCCCTCCCCCCCCACGAGCCCCTGTGCATCCAGATCCTCCCCCAACTGAGCCACCCGCACCCAGATTGCCCCACACAGAACCTTCTCACACCACACCTGGGTCCCCCCAAACGAAGCCCCTCCACATTTGGATCCTGCTGAGCTAAGTCTGCCTGCCTGCCCACACCTGGTGCAGAGAGGCAGGGCCCCAGGGTGTTTCTGGGGCAAGCCTGCCCCTTGCACTGCATCAGGTTTGGGTGCAGCCTCAATGCCGAGTCTGTGTCCGGGGGGAAGGGAGGAGGGAGAGGAGACTGCAGGGTGATCTTCCACCTCTGTGCAGCCAGCCTCCACATTTTACTGATAAATAAAATTTGCAGAATATTAAAATATTGTGCACAGAATTTTTTTTTGGTGCAGAATTCCCTCAGGAGTATAATTAGGAGTTTCCCTTCTCCCCAATACTGTGAAATGTGCTAAAAGGCAACTGGTTGCCACCCTCCACCTCAGAGAAAGCTACATTTCAGTGGTGCTGTAAATATATAGTGTTTAAAAGCATTGTTGCTGACCAGTGTGAAAGACACTATACAAAAATGTAAAAACAAGGGAAAACATTTTGGCCTCTAGTTCCTAGAATGCACAAATGCCACGTCCAACACTGGCAGTCTGGGAACCTTGTACAGGAGATGAATTTACTTAGTAGCCTGTTTTATCAGAATGGTAATGGAAAGTAAGTGCAGTGGATTACACAGATATTAGTAGCTAACTTTACGTTACATTTCTCTTATTTGCATTAAAGTAGAAATCAGTTTCAGCAGTATCTAACATTACTATCAAGTTGGTACTCGAGAGGATAAGACTGACTGTGATATGTCAGCGTTATACTGAAGTTCAGAGATTGCTAATGCACTTTTCACCATAGGCAATATAATTTCTGAAGTGTGCCTTCAAGCGCAGAAGACTGATGTGTTGCAGAAAATGAACGGTGTTTCCTTTCATAACTAATTTTTTTTTGCTGAAGTTCAATCAAATTATATGAAAAAGGAATGAGCATGCAAAGTTAACAGGGCTTCTCACCGGCGTATAGAAGATAGAATATATTTGAACATATAAAATATTTACAAGTGCTGTAGGAACTAACCTTGTAAATTTGCACATAGTAGCTGCCTGGAATTTCCAAGCCAACACTAGCACTTTAAATTCAGTGGGGTCAACACAGAGGTCATTACAAAAACGTTCCATGCCTTCTTCCAGTATGGCATCTTCTCGTTCGTCCTTGTATCTCCTAAACAATTCCCCAATCCTTTGAAGTGACGATTCCTCGGTGCCGGAAACAGGCTCTTTCTTTGCATCCCCAGAGAAAGTTGGAGGTTGACTAGAATCTAAAGCAGTATCCGTTTTCTTTGTCCCATTGACAAGTATGTCGCCAGAGGATTTTGCACATACTGAGGTATGTTCTTCTTTGTGAACTGCACTTCTTTTGCCATGAGACTTGCTGCTAGATTCTCTATCTCCATTTTTGCTGCCAAGGGTGGAAGAAGGATTCTTGCACTTAGTGACACACTGGCCCATGTTGTTGCAAGCCCAGCTTTTAGAGCAGTCCCCTTCTGATCCGACGCCCTCTCAGCTGCTGTTCAATGAACTTCAACATGCCATCAGTGGGAGTCGACTAACCTGGAAATAAGGTTTAAAATCAAATCACTGTTTTCCCACGGAGACCATATTAAGTAGTTAAGTAACATTCACAGAAAAATAAACAAGAGACTAACTTCAGGAGTTTAAGCTTTGCTTACTGAAGAGGAATAATGTACAGAAAGCTAGTGTATGCCATAAATACAGGCAATTTCAACTAAGGTCTGTTGCTTTACCTAGAAATCAATGCAGCTCACTCAGCAGCTGCAGTATACTAACGGGTCCTAATAAAGGAAATTCCTAAAATTCTTACTGTAACATAGGTTACAAAGAGGTTGATTCATGTGCAGAATTCATCAAGACAGACTACTCCAACCCAGAAATATTTTAGAGGAAATCATTTAAAAAACCATGATACACTTAACATATAGAATACAAGACTGTGAAACAAAGCAACATAAGCCAAGGACACTATGTTCTGTCAGAAACCCAAGCATTAACTTTGGCTTTTTGTTGGCTTTGGTCAGTTTCTGACCAACATCTGAAATCTAGTTTTTTGTTTTCATGTATGTATGCATGCTGCATGTTTACAGAGGGGGGAGGTGGTTAAAAAGGGACACGCATCTTTCCTGGAAGATTATAATATGTATTTAATAGAAGGGCTATTCATGGTTTCAAGTACCTATCCCAGTCCCTTGGGAGAGAAGGAGTATGAGGGGCTGCAGGGGGATTTTCCAATGAAAGTTTCACACACACATACTAAGGAGTTAATACTCCCAATTTCAGTTTATAAATTTAAACCAAAAACCATAATTTCTTTTGTAGCCATTTCATTCTAATCAAATTATGAAAGTTATACGCTCTATAAAAAAGTTGTTTTAC